TTGAGCCAGCTTGTTGATTGAGGGATGGGAGGGAGTTACAAGTTGAAACGGGAGGTGGAACACGGATATGCATATGGAAATAGATGCGGCAGTGGGGGGATAGAGTGAGAGGGCGGCGCGGGGGGGGGGGTACGCACGCAGGGAAATAGAGAGAGAGGGATATATTGGGTGGGCGATGCGTTGTATACTAGGCGGGAAGGGGCGACGCGAATGGGAAGCTAGATCCAATGAGCGGAGCGACACGCTGGGGAGCAATGAGCTGCTGGCACGGAATTGTTGGTCGCTGCGATGCCTGGCGATGGCGCGAGATCGATCGGTCGCGACCGAAGGTCGCGATCGAGCCAGCCTGGCGACCCGTCGCCCTCGCAGTCCAACCCCACCTCTCGCAGTTCTGTCTCAGATATGCCACCCTATCGCGCCCCCTAGCCCGAGCTCCTATCACCTGTGCTTCGGTGTCGTGCAGGATCGGCACAGTCAGGCATGCGCGCTTGAAACACCAGCCCAGCGCGGTCCGCCCTTCGCATTCCCTCTCTCTCTCTCTCTCTCTCTCTCTCTCTCTCTCTCTCTCTCTCTCTCTCTCTCTCTCTCTCTCTCTCTCCATCTCTCTCGCGCTCCCTCTCTCTCGCTCACCCCCTTCATCGAGCACATCCCATCTTCCTCCCGCCCGCTCACCATACTCGCGATGCATCGTTGCCCGTGTCCCGCTAAGGTTGACTCCGTACGCCTGGTCCTGCCTAATACCCCGCCCTCCCCATCCAACGCCTACTCCTCATCATCTTCCTCCCTCCCACCACCTGCTGCTGTCCAGCCTCCTCCTCATCATCATCCTCATCCTCATCCTCCTCATCCTCCTCCTCCTCCTCATCCTCCCCCACTCGTGACCTTGCTTGGATTTCGTGCCGCACAGGATGGCACCATCGTTGAGTGGGTGGAGACGCAGAGGCGGCGGCTGGACCAATGCCCGTCCGTTGCGTCCGAGGACCGCGCTGCCTGTGCTGCATGGTGTTTGTACGGACGGAAGCAAGATGTTGAATCGGTTTGGTGGTGGGAGATAGCGTTCAATAGTTCTGGCGTTAGGTTTAGGAGTTCCTCAATGTGGGTCGGCAAGGACCCCAGTGACGTCAGGAGTGTGTGCGTGTGTACTTGCATGTTGGTATACATCCATTCTCGAGAGGAACCTGGCAGCAGCGAGAGCACCTTCGAGAGTACGGTCCTGAAAGCGTTCCAGGAGAGGTTCCCGAGCTCGGTCCCTGATGAAGTACATGAGACACCGCTCGATGACACTCAGAAATCGAGGCTCGAGAAAATCAAGGACGACGCGTTGGAGGCGTGTGCGGCAGAGGGGTTCCACGTGGCCGCCGAGGGGGTCATCGGCAAGCGCTTCATGAGAGAGATGGTTGCGAACCCAGAGAAGAAGAACAGCTACGACAAGACGAGCAGGAAGGCGAAGCAGCAGGAGCGCGAGAAGTGGGCCAGGCAGTCCTTCGCCAAGTACCAGGAGCGAACGTTACCACCGTCGCCTGCTCTTGGGCCAAGAGCAGAGGGGATGATGGCGATAGATGGTGACGCTCGCATAGGAGAAGAAGTCTAAGATCACAGAGAGGTCGGAGCGGGAGACCATCCACGGCGAGCGGATGAACTACGAGCAGATCGTCGTTGCGCAAGGGGCTTGGGGTTCGCCCGCAGCGCAGAGAGGTGCTATGAACATTTGCCTCGACGCCATCAGCAAAGGTGGCAGATGGATCAGGATTAATCCTCGTTCAAAGCGTCTGGAGTTCAGGTACGTGCGCGAGACCGACAACGTCACCACTGGCACCACGTGGCAATCGATGAGGGTAGAGTTCAACGACGAGCAGCGCATGCCGCAAGCCAGTGGATCTGCAGCTGCACCAACTCCGACGCCAGCCTCGCCAGCTCCGACGCCAATCTCGCCAGCTCCGACGCCAGCCCAGACGGAACCTCCGACGCCACATCCGACGCCATCACCACACACACCAACGCCACCTGCGACACCACCGACGCCAGTAGTGCCAACTGCGAAGCCGAAGGCGAAGGGAAAGGCCAAAGGTAAGTCCAGGAAAGTAACGACTCAGACTCCCATTGCCGCGAAGGGCCTGAAGAAGCGCGCCAGCGATTGCATGACGACTGGCCTTGCGCAGATCTCCCAGGCGAAGAACCTGCTGAAGCGCATGCGGACAGATGCGATGGCTTCGTCGAGTACCCCGCAGCTCAACGAGAGGCTTGAGGCGATCATCTCGAAGACCGAGGCCGACCTTCAGAGTGATGAAATGTTCAAGGCTGCGATGACGGAGGGCAAATCCCTGGTCATCCCGACCGAGCCGAACGACGTGAACAGGGCGTTGTCGCGGTGCGCAGACCACGAGGGGAACTTGGAGAAGCTCGGCAGGGCCGTCAAGCGCATCCACGACTTCGAGGAGTTCAACGCACAGCAGCTCTCGAGCCAGGAGTGATCCTGCATGTGCGGTCTTAGTTGTGGCGGCAGTGCGAACGCCACGCATTAATATGATGGGGAGGGTGGAGATTAGTTCTGGACAGGCATGCTCAGGATGTGGAGGGGATTTTGGATACTCTTGCGAGGCTGTTCTGTGCTTTATCGTAGGGGTTGTGGTGTATTATCGGTCCTCTGCTGGCTTTGTCCCATCAGATTGGGTGAGATCGATAATATGTGCCACTGCCCCGTGGGCCGCTCGCAATCAAGCTCCATTGTAGATATGTGGCACGTTTAACACGCCTGCCTTCTACATCAGCTCGGCCAGATGCTGGTGAGTGTCGTTGGGGTGCCTCGTACGCTGCTGATTGAAGAGTCTGAGGAAGCCTCGCTCCCAGGAATTGGTCCGAGAGGCTCGTCGCTCAGAACGTGCGGGGATCGTCTCTTCCAGGATGGCGTCCATCTCACACTTGACGGTTCGGTGCCACGATATCTGAGGTTTGCCGTCGGGCATACTGAATTTCTGGCGTGGTGTAACGATTTCGTGCGCCAAGTGCCTGTCCAGTTTGTGTCCAGTTTGCGGTAAGTTTCCAGTCAGTTTCCAGTCAGTTTCCAGTCAGTTTCCAGAAATGGCGAATGTATCGAGAAATAGCCGGTAAGTTTCCGGGTTGTTTCCGGTAAGTTTCCGGTAAATTTCCAGTCAGTTTGGCCTGGTTTCGGCACTCTCGAGTTGTAGGTTTTTTTGTGCGCGGACGTGTGCTGTGATGGTTTCTCTCCTGCTTCCACGCTCGGAGATAGCGCAAACGCATTGCAAACGAAAATCCTGGATCCTGGGATCTGTCCTCCGCCTGCCACGTTCTCACACCTCCCCGTCCCAGACGTCACTATCCCTGGATAGATGGAGGGGGGAGCTGAGGGAGTTGGAGGAACTGAGGATGGATGGATCAGAATGTCACTGCGGAAGTTTGCGTGACGGGCTAGAGGGATGGAGGAGCAGGGAGAGAAGTGGGAAGGAGGACGGGGCACAGGAACATTGAGGTGAAATGCGACGAACATGATCGAGAGGAACAGGGGATGGAGGGAGGGACGGGTCGCAAAGATGACGAGAGGGGGGATTGGCCAGGAGGGAGGGATCGGTGACGAGACTGAGGGAAGGATGGACGTAACTAGCAAGCTGGAGTGCTCTCTCGCCCCGTGCTCTCTCGCCCCGTGCTGCCACATCTCCGCCTACGCCACGCCCACAGGCGCGCCCTCGCGCCCTCGCGCCGCCCCGTGCGTTGCAGCTCCTCTCGGTTTGATAATATCGTGGTCGAATCCGCCCCCCCCCCTCAAAAGGGGGAGATCATGTCATGAGGGGTGCTGCACTGAGGATGGATTATCAACTCCATGGCCCCAACCCCACCGAACGCCTGCCCCTTCAACCCACCATCGCGCAACATATGACCACAAATGGGTTGATATGCACACGTCGATGGGTCTCATTGTTATCGACACCGTGTCAAAACACGAACACAATCTCATACCAGCACCGTCACGAAATAACATACATATTAACTCACCACATCGTCACCCACATTCGTCATTGGCATGGTTATGACACGGTCAACAATCACCGCCATCATCATCATCATCATCATCATCATCATGATCATCATCATCATCAGCAGCATGATCATCATCATCATCATCATCATCATCAGCAGCAGCATCATCATCATCATTATCATCATCACCGTTGCTTATAGCCTGCCGTTTTGGCACAATGTGTTTGTGAATCCACTGTCCACATGAGTCGACGCCGACAGGCGTCGTGGGATCCATCCCAGCGACCTTCCAAGAGATTCAGCTGGGAAGAGTCAGAATGGCGACGTCAAGACGACGCCACAGCTCGCGTTCGCGAGGAGCGAGGTGCCGAACTCGCTGACCACCTACTGCTACAGTATGCTATGGGCACGATGACGGCAAAGAGCTTGTGTATCACTTGCTGGCTGGCCGTGCAGTCTGGTTCGTCAGGGGCCGATCTGAAGAGGTTTGCGTTTCCACCAGGAAAGCCGACGGGGACGTACAATCGACACCTCAAGACTGTGCTACCGCAGTCGCCTGCGGCTCCTGAGATGTGCATGCTAAAGCTTCCAATGCATATCACAAGCGTTCGCGACACCAAACTTGTGCCCTTCGCCCCCCCACACGAGTTGCTGGAAGCTGAGCGTAATGCATTGCTTGCAACACGTGGCGACATACCTCCGCCACCCGTTGCAGAGTGGACGGGGAGCCACAGGCACCATCCGCACCGCCATCGCGCAGATGACGACCGAACATGCTACCCTCCTGCCACATACGTTGGCGGCGTCAAATTTACACGGGCCATTGGCCCGAGCCGTTCCGACAGTCTGACGCCGCTCACCATCTACAACTTACAGACGAACAAGAGGCACTACATTGGTTGCGCGTCTAAGCGGGAGATGCGCAGATGTGGCTGCAGGGGGTGGTGCACGATATGGCCAATACTTTCTTTCATCGAGTGGAGCCTGCCCGCGGCCACGGACGGCCG